GAGAGAGAGAGAGGCCTTGAAGGAAGAAGCAGCTAAAATTAACTGTTCAGGTCAGCCTTGCAATCATCAAGTGAAACAGCCTAAACAAGAGAAGGAGATGTCCTATCAAATCACTGAAAAACACGTCTATAACTGAAAAACACTTTTAGATTAGAACAATACCACAAGGAAAGAAAGCAACAGTAATGAGCTCAGGAACAAGAAAGGTTCATCCAAGAAGAGATGATTACCACTAGGAGCCCAATAAACTAATGGCTGGCATCAAATAAAAGAACTATGAATTTGCATGAGGCTTATTTTGTTTGGAACAAGGTAATCAACTGGTTTGCTACAGCTTGTGGTGACTCAACTAATTGAAACAAGTAGATGCAAACTACAAATTGCTGTAACCAATGTTCTCACTTTTGCACAGTTTAGATGCTTGCCAAAAGCTTCAAGTTGTCTCATAGGACCCTCATAGGACTCTTTAACTGTTAATCCAAATGACAGGAACAGCCAGATACTAATGGTTGCACTGATAATTAGGTTGGAGAGTTGCTGATTGCGAAAATTTTGGGATTGATGGAAATTAATCTAAAGTTTGCATTATGGATGAAGAAGAAAAGTAATCAAGTAACTAGAATTTGGGGAAGACATCAGTATGCAACCTTTGGATCAGAATATTTCAAGAGACAAACAATGACAATGATACTCACACATTTACGAATCTATGAGTTCAACAACTCGATCTTCCTCTAAATAACTAAAATTCAGCCAGAAGTAACTGATATAATTAAAGCAAGAAGAGCGAAGATCGAGTTGTTGAACTCATAGACTAAACATGTTAACTACAGCAACTAGTAGGCTAAAACACAATTATAGAAGAACGAGATCCCCATTCCACCTATCAACGACGCGATAATAAGCAAAGAACACTAAAGAAAAAAGAGCTAATCACAGAAGCAATTCTGAGATTGACTCGATCTGAATCTATAATCGAACTCCAATCTTTTTCTTGAAATCTAACTCTAGCGAAAGAAACTAATACATAGTTTAGATTACTGGCATCCATCTCTTTCGTTCTCTACAAAATATGCACATGAAAAAGATCGAGAAGCAAAAGCAGCGATCAAAACTGGACCTTTCCAGTTAATCCGATCGTTTTGCACCGCCAGGTCGCCGCCGGGTGCGCCGCTTCCATGGCTGCATCACAGAATCCTGGAACCTAGAGGGCATTGCCAACTGCCGCTTCCTCCTCTTCCGCTTCGGACCAGCTTCAGCATCGGCATCCAGCTCCTCCTTCCTCTTTTCAACCATCTCTCGCGTCCCTTGTTCCTCTTCGACTCCACTGCTTCCAATGTGCTCCGTCTCCAAAGCTCCGTCTCCAAACACTTCAATGACGGCCAACACCAATAGATCAAGACCTTCGCAGCGGGTCGAGGAATCATCAGAAGGAGGAGAATTCGATAGAGGAGACATGGACGGAGCGGGGTCGGGATTGGAAATGAAGCCCAAAGGTGGAGTCTTTGAGGCTCGAATTCTCATCTGGGAATAGCTTCTTCGGATTGGAAGACTTGGTAAAAATTGGCGCGGGAGAAAGTTGAGATTTTGGAGATCCTAATTGGATTGGAATTGGGTGAGGAGATCGGAGAAGGAAGCCGAAGGGGGGATGGAAGATTGCGAGGAGCAGCAGAGAAGCCAAGGGTGGAATGGATGTTATATTCATATGTTAAAGCGTTGGCCCTGCGTGTTTCGTCAGTAGAAGAGGGGCAATATAGCCACCCCCCGAATTGCTTCTGTTTTTCGTGTTTCTGAAAACAAATCACAGAAATGTTTGTTCTTAATTAACATTTTCCTTACTGAATACAGAAAACAAAAACTGGAAACACAGGTGATTGGAAGAACAAACTGAGTAAGAAATGTTTCTGCCATCCTCTAATACCAAATTTATGTCCCATAGTTGATTGAATTATATATCAATTCCACTGTTTTTGTTCATTTTTCTTATATTTTCTTACAATTTACATAGAAACAAAAATGTGTTGATGTCAGTTACTCTTTTGACAAGAGAAATTATAACACCCCCAACTAGTTTCACATCGGAAGTAGGTAAGGACTAAGATTGACTTATATGAATCTTACGTGTGTATTATAATAATTTCAACTTAAGGATCAAATGGAGTTATTGATTAGTTATTGTAACACCCTCAATTAATCTCATATCAAAAAATTCTTGATTTCAAAAAAATATTGATTTAATTATATTATTTATTTATTTGTCTAGCATTTGATTAAAACTCTCATAAAAGAAAAAAGAAAAAAAAATTGATTTCAGTAACTCCTATGACAAGAAAAACAAATTAGCAACATGAAACACTAATGGGAAAACAGGGCAACAAAATCAATGAGAAATGGTGCAGGCTTTGACTCAAAAAGTATTGCTTAGCAATCCCAAAACCTGCCAAAATTGATCAGAATTGGATTGATCTCTGCAGCATCAACATTCTATGGCTAAAATGATGGTGATTATTTCCTTTGGAAGGATGTGAATGTGTTTTCCCTTTTGGCTTTGGTTTGGAGGAGGATTGCATCAAAGTTGTCCAGATGTGGTATGTTCTCACCTGTTGGACTCAAGGTTGACCTGCACAGCAGCAGCACATTGATGTTTGTAAGGTTGTCTATTTTCTGCTCAACTCATCCATCAATTTTATCTACTCATCTAAGAGAATCATTGAAACACTTGAATGAATCTTAAGAGTAGTTTGACCAGAGAACTAACTATTCACTCAGACATTGTTCTTGTTCTAGCCATCATCCTGTTTGTGACTGCCTCAAAATGCATCTTTATCTGATACAGATGAAGGGAATGTGCCATTGGATTCAGCTGTTCTAAGAGCATGTGGGCTTCTGCAACATCAGCCAAACATCTCTGTCCTGCACTGCAGGCGTTTTGCATTCGCAGTAAGGAATTATAATGCTGGATGTGGTTTCGATAGTTTTTGTCCTTTAGAATCTGCAATGGATGTTGTTGGTTATACTAATCCAAACATCCGAGCAGCTCCACATGATGACCTTTTCTTCTCCCATGAGCTTCGTTGATGGCATCTTGGTTGCGGGACTTGGATTTTTGGAGCCCCATGTGTGACGGACGATCTATGAGTTCTCGTAAAGTGCTTCTTCCAACTTTCTTAAAACTCCACGCTTGCGTTTTGATTTGCTTTTGAAGTTCGTGTAACAATGGAGAAGCATTCATGGAAGATTTGACGGTCTCAGCGATGAACAGCACTGTACAAAGCCAAGATCGGCTTTAGGGAATAAATAATGAACTAAAATTTGAAGCCGGCGATGTTGACCGTCCGATCTTTGCTCAGAAGAAAGCAGCGGGGAGATTGAGATCGAACGAGAAAGGCGGCTTCTGCTTCCCGGCCTTCGCCGCCTCCTCCGCCTTCCTCCCCATCGACCCAGCTTCGAAAGGGTATCCCAGGGACAGATCCATCGGCGGCGCCCCCGCCGAGGGCGGGATCCCGAGGTCCCCGGGGCGGCAGAAGTTGGTCTTGGCCTTGGGCCCGCGAAGGCTGCGCGCGGCCTCGTCGTACGCCCGCGCCGCCTCCTCCGCCGTGTCGAAGGTCCCCAGCCACTTGCGCGTCTTCTTCCAGGGGTCCCGGATCTCCGCCGCGAACCGCCCCCACGGCCGTTTCCTCACCCCCCGGAAGCGCGCTTCCCTCCCCCCTCCACCCCCCATCGCCAGAACACGAGCAAGAAGAAGACTTTACGGCGAGGCGGAGGAGGCAGGGGCGGGACATTTATAGAGGAGCCGACGGGGTTGCGCCCGCCCGACAGGTATTCGATCTAATTCCAATTTATTTCGCCGTTTACTCTCTGCTTCATTTTTCTGGTCGCCATCAAAATGCGTGTGGGGTCCTCGGCCGCCTCGAATGGAAGGCGGTGATTCCCTCGCCGCCGCTGTGTCCCACCAGCACACGGGAATCCAGTTGAGAGCGGCGACATGGGGCGCCACCCGCCATCGGACAACGAAGATGCCGTCTCAGTTTGGATGCACGTGCGCATTTCCCCACGCGGTGCGGCGGCGCCGCCGGTACGCGAGGACCACGTTCAATAAAAAAAAGACGACCCACGCGCAAAAAGAGGAGAGAGAAAGCAAAGGGACGAAAGGGAAATAGTAAGAGAAATTTACCAGTAAAGTCTGCTTCTTACGAGCAAATCCACTTGCCTCCGAGCAATGATGCCTCAATCTTCATCAGACCCAGGAAGAACAAGGATAAGGTCAGGATCTCTGTCTCAATCAGTCCCCTCATTGCTGTCTATTTTCCTTGCATTTGATTGTAAAATCTGAAATGAAGGATTAAGAAAAAAGGGATAACAACAAGAACAAAGGCTCCATTTACAGAGCACAGAGCTTGCATGTGGAGTAGGAAAATATACTATGCAAATATGGTATAATTAAGGACAAAAAACCAAAAAAAAAAAACAGATTGGTATACCATGAATCATCATTAAAAGGATTGATAATAGATTTCAGAATGTAGGCCAAGGAACCAAAGATTTTGTTCAGGGGCTCATTCGTCCCCATGAAGGTTCTGATTCTATCAGGTCAGATAACACACAGTTGAGATCTTTAGCTGCAAAATCTAAAACCTTCATGGGGATGAACCTTGTATATCTGAAATCAGTTGATTTATATCCATGGGGATCATCACTAAAACCCAGATTTATATCCAGCTAATAAAAAGTTGAGACACAGATTTCCTTGTATATCTGTACAACTCATCAGACTTGCAGTTTCAAATCCTTTTCAATGGTTTTCAGATTGTTTTGTTCCAACTTAATCATGAGAAGTCACCTACCTGACAAACTTGCATGAACAAACCAACTATTCCCAGATACAAAGCAATCTTGCCTTCTTATGCACCTCTTCACCATTTCTTTTTGGTTCCTCATCAACCACAAAGTCTTCAGTTGCTTCATTTATAAGCACAGAATCACAGCTTGAAGCTCACCCTTTGTTGAAGCTTCTCCACCAGTCATCCCATAAACCCTTTTTCTCAGCTGCCTTTAGAAGGGAATAAACCAATGTCAATCACCCCCTCTTAATTCAGATCTCAAAGAGTGGTCTTTGGTCTGATAGGCTTAATGATATCAAGGAATATAATCATCATGCCCATAATCTAATATTGTGTTATTAATGCTCTATAAATTGCTTATTGTACTTGATGATCCTCTACAAATGGAATATAAAGCTTCTCTGCATCCTGAAATGGTGATGTAATTATGTCTTTTGGAGCTAAAGCATGCAAACTCTCATGGTTGACCTTAAGCTTAGCATCTAATAGTACATATTGCAGAATAAATTGTTTTGTTGATCGTGAGGAAGTTTCATCATGATAGGAAGCTTGATGCTATCTATCTCATTATGCTATGCACCTAATCTAATACTGAGCTATCAGCTTCCACAGAATGAGCTCGACCTGTGCTGTATATATAAGGAGCCATGGAAGAAGTTGTGGCATGACCATGGTGATGAAGAAACCTTCCTTCCATTGCATACTTTTTTCCTCCTCCTCTCATGACAGTTTAGGGGAATGTTGTCTGGCTCGAAGCCATTGGAACGAGAACAGTGTCTTGATCTATCCTTATCGACATGAGTGGATTCGGACCAGGCTTCATTCCCCTCAACTCATGGAATTGTTTGGAGTCATCTGGAAGAGATCAGCTTGAATGCTCACAAGTAAGTGTATTTTACTTCTCTATTGCTGTATGAAAACATAGAGAATTAACACATTTGCCTGAAGGAAACTGTTCCAGCTTCCAGTGTTCACGTTCTTGATTGCTTGTCTGGTTTAAATGGAGAGGTTTTCTAGTGTGAAGACAAGGCAGGAGGTGGCTCAGATTGAATTTTTTGGTGATGTTTATGCTTTCACCTTAGCAGAAAGAAGAAAAAAAAACAGATCTCAAGAAGATGGAATTCTGGAGATCAGATGCTTGGATTGAAAGTCTTTCTTTCTTTGCTTCCTAAAAGAACTGCATTCTCAAGAAATATTTACGACCACATTTATTTGATAATATCATCAATCACATGACATCAAAGCGCTGATTATGGAAAATCAAGATATCGATCATATGATATCGAAATATTGGTCATGTGACATTGAGATATCGATCATATTATTATTCGTGTATCAATTATAAATTGTGAAGAGTATGAAGGGCCAATATCTTCCTTGGCTCATCATTTGACTTGTTGGGGAAGGACTTGCACTATCCAGCTAATGGAAGTTGAAGACAACATTGCTTTCAGCAATGGCATGGTCTGCCTACCATCCATGGCAGAAGTAGGAGAACAGCACTCACTGGAAAGATTGGTGGCCCACACCACCTAAACCAAGAACAAGAAGGTGGGGTTCATCTCTCTCTGAACTCAACATTTGTAGACACTAATGCATGGCCATCATGGTGTGCAATCAGAGAGATGGTGTTCTACTACTCTTACTTACTACTCCTCTCTCACATTGGCAAGGAAGATTTCTGAGTCATCCATTATCCAACTTGTAAATCAAGATCAAGAAGCCCAATCCTTCTATACTTTAAATAATACTATTGCAACAGGTTTCCTATTACTTTGAGATGATTTGAAGCAAAAACTATTAAGAGAATATTCATATATATTCGAACGATTTGAATGAGTCAGATTATATATTATATCAAGTCAAGATTCTTGAAAAAAAAAGTAAATAATAATAATAATAATAACTAAATAGTAAATATAATCAAATGAAAAAAAGGGTCTAAACTATAGTTTTACGTACGCTTAGAAATAAGAGGGAGATAATTAAGTCGATATGAATAGAATAAGATAATAGGAGAATTTGACGTATGTTAATATATTAAAATTCTCATAAATATATTTAATATATTTACAAAGGTCACTAATTTAATAAGATAAATTCATCGACTAAGTTTAGTGAACACTCGATTATGCTTACAATGTTATTGTTGAAAACGATTAAAGTTCTCAGTCCACTTATCATACACATTACCATCAAACCCCGTGATATATTCTCTACATCCTCCAAGCATGCTGACCATGTTTTGAGTGCCAATGGCATCTTGGATTAGGCAAAATGAACAGTTTACAGGTCAATGTGGAGTCTCGACAAGCATGAGATGAATCCTCACCAAATTCTCGTCTCCAATTCAGACTCATCAAACTCGTATTTAGCTTCCAAATCATGGGCGAGAATAAAACATCATTCATCAATCTTGATTGTTTATTAATGTCAATTAATTATTATTAAAAATTTTATCATGGCATTTATAAGATGTCTTCATGCCATATTTCAAAAAAATATTTATATTATGATATTTGATCGGAAAGTAATAATTGTTAGGTCTGATCTCAACCCATCAAACCGAGTCGATTGGATCTAACGTGGGGTTTGAGCTTGATATGAATCAAAGTTTAAGACAAATTAGATCCAACACTGGTTATATCCAACATGACTCCAAACAAAGTCGAAGTGATGAGTAACAAAGATACTTGGATATGTTTGATATAATTTGTTTTGATGATTTAATTGGATTATATATATATATAT